TTTATTTATTTTTCATTTCAATGAACATCTACAGAGATTTTGGAATTCCATTCATTCATTGTTGCACCCTTCTCCCCGCCCACCCCATTCCACCCCTCCCCCTCATTTGTTTTATTACTTTGTTTAAGGGAAGAGAAAAATAAAGATTATAAAAGTATGCAAAACTTTCCCTACCTTATAAGTTAAATGTTTAGTATGTAGGGCTGTAATACATGATTTGGGTCTTTTCCTCATATTTTCAGATTCCTTCTTTTTTCAAAGTTTGTAGTTTCTTTTCATAGGAGCACAGTTAGAGTATTTATGTAGGAGCTAAGATTCTTCTATCAGTTGTACTGCCCGAGTAATTCTACAATGTACCCACTACTATGTTTATGTAATCCAAGCATGGTACCACGTTTATTATGGAAAAGTTACTGTAGCTTCCTTTATAGTTCTTTTAGGAAGTGTTTTTCCTAATATTTGGGTATTTTTTCATTCCTATTCAGTTCACTAAAACTTTGTCTTAATTCATGTTTTAACCAAAGAAGTGCTGTATACACCCTGTGAAGGTTAATCTGTCAAGATACATACGTGGCACACCTTAAGAACTTTATACAAAATGAAAAGAAATTATTTTAAAATTTCTTAACAAGAAACTATAATTATTTAGTATTATATATACATATTAATGAGGGATATTTTTCTTTTTTTAAAATTTTTCTCTTTACCATCTTAAAAATTACTTAATACCTTGTTATTTGCTACATTTGAGATATTAAATTACTTTTTAATTTCACTTATCTATTTATGAGAAGTAGGCAAGGCTGCCAGAATTCTTTTTTTAGCTTTATGTAAGAATTGTGAAGCAATACAAGCAAAATAAGGATTATAAAAACTTTCTTTTAAGAACCAACAACTTGAAGAAAAGGAACAGCAACTCACCAGTGTAAGAGAAGAAATGAATGAGATGCAGACAAAGATAAGTGAAATTAAGAATTTAAAGGATGAGTTAAATGGCAAAAGTTTAACATTGAAATGTATGGAAACAGAGAAACTTGAGTTGACTCAGAAACTTTATGAAAATAATGAAGAAATGAAATCTATAACCAAAGACAGAAATGATCTAAGGAAATTACAGGAGTCATTTGAAACAGAGATAAATCAACTTAAAGGATATATAAGAGAAATTGAAGCTACAGTAAGTACTTTTTCCTTTACCTGTAAAAATTCTTATAAAAGCTAATTCAGTTGGTATGCAATTATGAAAAATTGAGTCAGAAAACTTTATGTGATAGATTTCTTAACAATGACTTAAAAAAAAAAAGGAGCTCCTGAGACTGATTTTATGTACAGCCTAACATTTCATGGTGGTGGTGGTTGTTATGTGCCATTGAGTCAGTCACCTGCAGCTCATAGCAACCCTATGTATATATTCATTATGAAGCCCACCCTACCCTGAGCCAATCTCATCATATCTGACAGACCTAATTGCATTTCTTCAGTCACTGAGTCAATCTATCTCATCCTGGATCATCCTCTCCTGCCCTTCAACCCTTCCAAGCATTATGTCCCTCTATAAGGACTGATCCCTCCTGGCCACATGCCCAACGTATATGAGATGAAGCCTCAAATCCTCGCTTCCAGGGAGCAGCCTTTTCTCGTCCTATCCAGGACAGACCTATTTGTTCTCCTAATAGTCCGTGGTATGTGCAACACTCTTCTCAGTACCACAACTCAAAGGCATCGATCCTTCTTCTGTCATCCTTAGTTATTGCCCAGCTCGTAGGTGCATAGTACATAACTGCAAAGACCATGGCCTGGATCAGATGCACTTCAGGCCCCAGACTGACATCATTGCTCTTTAGTAGTCTAGAGAAGTCCCTGACAGTGGAATTTCCGAGCTCGTCTTTTGATTTCCTGGTTGCTGGTGCCAAGAGTGTTGATTGTGGAGCCAATCAAGCTGAAGTTATCAATGATCTCTTCTCTATCCATCATGAAGCTGCCAGTTGACCCAGTGGTGAGAATCTTTGTTTTCTTGATGTTGAGCTCCAATCCATATTGAAGACTATAGTCCTTGCCCTTCTGCAGGAAAGATCTCATGTCCTCTTCAGTTTCAGCAAGCAAGTTGTGTCAGCTGCATAATGTAGGTTGTTGATGAGTCTTCTTCCAATCCTGATGCCACATTCCTCCTCATAAAGTCCAGCCTCCCAAATGATCTGTTCTGTATATAGATTGAAAAGTTAGGAAGATAGAATGCATCCCTGATGCACATCTTTCCTGAACCTGAAGCATGTATTATTTCCCTGCTCTATTCTGACTACTGCTTTCTGTACCAAGTATTGGTTTTACATAAGCACAATTACATGTTCTGGGACCCCCATTCTTTTTAAGGTTAGCTACAATTTGTTGTTATCTACACAGTCAAATGCCTTTGCATAGTCAATGGCAATAGACAGTCCTCTGGTACTCTCTGCTTTCAGCCAAGATCCATCTAACGTTGACTTTAATGTGCCTAGTGCCATGGCTTCTTCTAAACCTATACTATACAACATTTCATGGTACATCTCAGTTAATTGGTCTACTAATGTGCTTGATGCTTCTATTTTACTTTTTTTAATTTCTTTTTTTTTATTTTATTATTAATTTTTGTGCGTGTACCGTCAAATCAGATCTGACTGGTACAGGAGGAGATTGCCCCTCCTCCTTCAGCAGAGCATCTGGTGGATTTGAACCATGCATCTCTGGGATTGCAGTGCAGCTTCTTGCCACTAGGTCACCAGAGCTCCCTTCTATTTTACTTTGTAATTCATTGTGTAGTGCCTAGGGTTGTAAAAGCTTACAAGCAACCATCCAAGACACAGTTATTGCTCTCTTTACCTAGAACAAGAAATTGTTATTTGTTCTTAGGTATTGTTGAGTTATAGTGATCTTATGAACAACAGATCTGAATCCTGACCTATTATTTGCCATCCTCACACTCCCTGACACCCTAGAACTTATTGCAGCAGTCACTGTGTCAGTCTGCCTGGTTAAGGGTCTTTCTCTCCTCCATCCCTCCACCTTTCCAAACATGATGTTCCTCTCTAAGGAGTAATCTCTCCTAGCAACAAGCCCAAAGTATGTGAGACACAGCTTCATAATCTTTGCTTCCAAGGAGCACTCTGGCTGCACCCTCTCTAAGACATACTTGTTTGTTCTTTTGGCAGTCCATGTAATATTCAGCACTATTGTCCAACACCACAGCTCAAGCTATCAATTGTTTCTCTGTCATCTTAATTCATTGCCCACCCCTACAGTACATAACAAATTACTGAAAAGACCATGGCCAGAATCAAGCACACCTTAGTCCTCAAACTGACATCATGCTCCTTGATCATTTGGAGAGTTCCTTGAATACAGGCTTTCCCAGTATATCTCCTGATCTCCTGACACCAAGGGTGTTGATTGTGGATCCAAGTAAGATAAAGTCATTGACACTCCCAATCTTTTCTTCATCTATCATTATGTTGCCTACTGCTACAATGATGAAGATTTTTGTTTTCTTAATGTTGAGATGCAATCCATATTGAAGGCTATAATGTTTACCCTTCTGCAGCAAATACTTCAAGTTCTCCTCACTTTTAGTAAATAAGATTGTGTCATCTGCATAACGAAGGTTATTGATGAGCCTCCCTTCATCCTGATACCATATTCTTCATAGAGTCCAGCTTCTCTCAAGTGATTTGCTCAGCTTATAGATTGAATAGGTGTGGTGAAAGGATACAACCCTGATGCACACCTTTCCTAATTTTAAACCATGCAGTGTTCCCTTTCTCTGTTTTTACAACAGATTCATTGTGTCTATGAATGACTGCTTCCTTTGTCATGACACCAGAAGAACTAGCTGGTACCCGACTGCCATTATTGAACATTTAGATCAAAGATTATAAAGAAGAATCTTGATCAAAAGGGGGGAAATGCATGACAGGTTTCAAATTATCATCAAATCTGTACTTTCTGAAGCTGGGAAAGCCAAACGAACCACCAAAACATGGTGCTGAAATAATCTTTTCAATCTTAAATACAGAATATGCCCTAAAATCTTCTCAAAGCCAAATAATAGTTGAACCTAATTAGTAAAGAACATCTGCCTTGAACATGGTGCTTTTAAAAAAATCTTTCTGAAAAGAAAAAATCTTTCTGAACAGAATCAAATTTTCAAAAGCAACTTGAAGGATTATATTTGAACCATCAAGAGCAATGAATTTATGTTTTAGAGAAGGAAAAAATTAAGGGGCTTGGGAGTAGTTGTACTGCTCAGAGAATGCAACCAGTTTCACTGGCTTGTACATGAATAAACTGGTAAATTGATAACCATTCTCAACAATAACAACAATAAAAGTAATTTGGACAAAAAGCTGAGCCATTTGGGAAGAGGAGGCATTAATGGAATTATGATGTAATAAAGTTTACATTTCACATGCAAACAAAAGAAGGTTTAAAAATTATTCACATGAATCTAAAAGAATACTAACAAACAATTGACAAACTAAGAAGAAATAGTTTTGAGAAGACTGCTCAATAAATATTCAAGGTGTAGGGAAAACCACCAATGCTAAATTACAAGAAAAGTTATATTGTTTCTTCTTTCTTCTATAATTTGTCCCTTCTTCCTTCCTTTCTCCACTGTGGGACATACATGCAGTTATGGCCCATTAATTTATTGGTCATTTACTTGTTGAATGGCTGCTATGCCAGGCACAGTCAGTCCTAAGTAATGGAAAATCATAAAGTAGACTAAAGCTATATTCATAAAAATTACATTGTAAATAGAAAGTGGTAAATGGAACCAAGAGAGAATTACTAGAATTACAAGCTAGGTTTAGAAGAGGCCCTGGCACTAGAGACTTTATTGTCAATGTCAGGTGGATCTTGGTTGAAAGCACAGAGTACCAGAGGAATGTCTATCTGTGTTTCATTGACTATGCAAGGGCTTTTTTTTTTAGAAGAAATCCAAATACATAATTTATTCTGGTGTTCATAAAGAATTTATAACAGTGGTGTTACACAGTATTTGTCCTTTTCTGACTGAGATATTTCACTCAGCTCATGTCTTCTAGACTTATTTATGTTGTATAGTGTTTTTGGGGGGTTTTTTGGCTTTTTCCCCTTTTTTATTTTTTTGACTGTGTGGATCACAACAAATTGTGGCTAATGTTGAGGAGAATGAGAATCCCAGAACACTTGATTGTGTTCATCTAAAACCTAAACTCAAACCAAGAAATAGTCCTCAGAACAGAGCAGGGAAACACTGCATCGTTCAAAATCAGGGAAGGTGTCCGGGATGAGTCCTGTCTCCACACCTTTTCAATCTATATGCAGAACAGATCATTCAGGAGGCTAGGCTTTATGAGGAGGAATGTGGCATCAGGATGGGAGGAAGACTTATCAATGACCGACATTATATAGATGACAAAACCTTGCTTGCTGAAATTGAGGAGAACCTGAAGCACTTGCCACAGAACATCAAGAACTGTAGTCTTCAATATGAACTGGAGCTCAACATCAAGAAAACAAAGATTCTCACCACTGGGCCAATTCACAGAGCCATGAGAGATGGAGCAGAGATTGGGGTTGTTAATAATTAAAGCTTACTTGCCTCTCTAATCAACACTCTTAGCACCACCAATCAGGAAATCAAAACATGAATTGCACTGGGGAAAATCTGTCGTCAGGGACTTCTCCAGAGTACAGAGAAGCAATGATATCAGTCTAGGGACAAAGGTATGCCTGAAACAGGCCATGGCCTTTGTAATTACTTGCTGTGCTTCAGGGAGCTAGACAGTGACTAAGGATAACAGAAGAAGAATTGATGCTTTTGAGTTGTGATGCTGGAGAAGAGTCATGAACATACCATGGACCACAATGAAAACAAATAGGTCTGTCTAAGAGGATGAAGCCAAGTTACTTCTTGGACACTAGGGTTTTGAAGCTCCATCTCACTTACTTTGGGCACTTGGCCAGGAGGGACCATTCCTTGGAGAAGGACAACATGCTTGAAAGGTTGGAGGGACAGCACAGGAGAGGAAGACTCCAGATGAGATGGGCTGTAACAGTAACGAGCATTGGGGGTAGGTGTGTTGGAGTCAGTGAAACTGGCTCAGGACAGGGCAGACATCATAGTTGTTGTATACGAGATTGCAGTAAGCAACAGGTGACTCTGGCACGTTCCAACTACAACTGATAAGCAAACAAGGTAATTTTAGAAACTGTTAAATGTTATGAAGAAAATAAAATATTGTGATAACTAGAATAATTTAGAGATTATGCATATGAGTAAAATATTGTCCATTCCTTCCAATGTAATTGTACAAAGAAACTATATTTTCTAATATGTTAAATATAGATTTTTATGTGAAAACTTCCCATGAAATTCACTCTGTATAAGTTAGAAAAATTGAGAATTAGCCTTGAGAACTTTGTAAGGATGAAAACTTTATTTATTGAATTGTAGTTTTCTCAACGATTACCTTTCTCCAATGGTATCTTCAAACTTAGTTAGAAGTGAATACCTGCACATGCACCTGCCTGAATTAACCACTTATTGATAATGTGTAAGAATCGGAGGGCTTAGAGTGCTGCTTAAGAGAATGATTCACTTTAGGATGCAAACTGGAAATAAAGCTATGACAGAATATAATTGGCAGAAAAGTATTGAACATCTTTAGAGGAAGTAAAGGGGAAATGGTGAGCTGAGGTGGACCCTGGGGGTTTCGATCACCTCTGTGACTATGGAAAGTATTCTGATCCTTTCCCTTTACAAAATTATGATATTCAGATACTCACTTTAGTATTTTGTGAATGTCTAAAGATGCCAGCACTTCACGTGGAAAGGAAGTCAGTTCCTAACATGAAAGAAGTCAGTGAGGGCCAGCAAGCAACACAGGAACTGGAGCAATTGGAAAGTGATCTGGAAGCTAAGGGCTCGACATCTACAAGCATAGATGTGGAAAAGTTGATTGTGAAGCTTGAAGAAAGTTATGAAGAAGTAAAATATATCACTAAAGAGAGAGACAATCTTAAAACGCTAAACGAAGCACTTCAAGTTGAATGTGATCAGCTGAAAGAAGACCTCAAGGTAACTTTGGCTAAAGTAAGTTTTATCTTTTTGTCCTCATTTGGAAATGTTTTCTTTAAGGAATCAAACAGTTATGCCATTGTTATAATGTTACTGTTGTTGTTGTTGTTGTTGTTGTTGTTGTTGTTATTGTTGTTGTTGATTGCTGAGCAAGACTGATAGAGACCCTGTGAACAAAAGGCCTGAAGATTTTCTATAACTATCATCGTTTCTCAACATTCATAGTTTCCAGAGGCAGGTTGCTTAGGAAATGGATGCTCTTCCTGCTTCCAAATGTTACTATTAGGTTTTATCTATTTCTTTTTTAAAATGTCTCTTAATCACGAAGTACTTGGAAACATAATTAAAATTGTACCAACTTTTACAGTCGGAGATAGATCAAACATGCAATCA